GATGGCATTCACAGGTTTTGGAAGTACTCATCTTCAAGAAGCTTACTTAGACTCTTTACAATAGCTAAATACATACATTTAACATAGATTTGTAGAGTATATTTACATACTGGATCTGATAGCTTGTCCATTAGTGTTAGAAGAACAACTCCAGATAGAAGTTCTCTCAATAGTACTATGAGACTCCTACAAAAAGATGGTTAGAAAATTTGAGAAAATGCCAATTTTTGACCATGGCCATCTTTTACCACGGTCTGGTATACTGGGATAATGGATTTCTAAACAAAAACAAAAAGTTGCAAACCCAAAGTAAATAGAGGGGCAAGATTTGGTCATTTACCATCCTAAAGTTGGTCCSTACAGGGGAAAACTGTACCCTATGCCTTGAAAACGGATCTCAGCCTAACAGCCTTGGTCTGCATGGATATTCAATACCAGTAAATAACCTCTACCTCTTATATTACCTGCAATCCAATGAGTGATGGGGGAGTAGATGAGGTAATGCACCATCAGCAAGTTTTCTCAGGTACTGTAGCTCCATGGATCTGCTGAATAGTGCACAATGCATGTCTGATTCTAGGTACTTAATGACAGATGATGGGTTATGAGAACCTTCATTCTGTTCAACTAGAAAATAAATGAGAGAAATACTGAGATAATGGGAATAATATTCACACGAAGGTGGCATTGGTAGGGAAGTAATTGGATATGCAAGTGGTACCTTTGTCTTTAGCTCTGGTATAAAGATCAAAGTGTTTGATGCCCTCCTTGATTAGCTTGTCTGTTACAAGGCTTGTAATGTCAATCTGGAGAGAAGAATTAAGGATTACATATAGCCAACTTAATTACTGCCCAGTATGCCTGCTGACATGTAGGGCAGCAACAAGAGATTACTACTTACATGTACATGTAAATAAGCAAAGAAATAAATGAACAAACGAATAAACAACTAGCGGATTGATTGGAAAAATGGATGAATGGATTGACACAGAATGATGGGTGTGGAGGGAGGGATGGATGGACAGATTTGAAAGGATTGACATGGGTTCCCTACCTTTCTAACTCTTCTGACAAGTACAGATGCTATATATCTCAGGCTACTGCGAAGCTCATCCACAAATGTATCATCTGAACTCAGTTCACTAGGAAATAACAWATATTTTTTATTCATAGTTACTAGGCAACCAGGGAATTAAAAAAATGAAACAATAAATGCGGAATAAATGAAGACAGAGTTCATACTACTAGGAGCTTGCAAAATTCCAGGAGTTAAATTTCCAGGAGTCAGATTTCCAGGAGTTAAGTTTCCAGGAGTTTTACGGAGTATAACTATAAAAATGTCAGACCCATTAGCTTTGAAATTTTAGATCAGAAATACTAAAACAGTTTTCCTATAGAACAAGCCACATACTGTACTAAGTGTTGGTCGAGAAAACACTCTTCTTTTTAATTTTATTTGTCTAATATTTAAYCTAATACTAATAGAAATTTCAAGGAMTTTTGCAGGAGCTGGTGTCAAAAATAAAATGTTCAAGGAGTTTTCCAGGGCCCTGGAAGAAAGTTTCAAAATTCCAGGAATTTTACAGGAATTCCAGAAGCTGTGTGAACCCTGGAAGAAGGAAGGAGGAGGGAGTGTAGTACAGTGTAGGTGAAAAGATGGAAGAGAGAAAGAGGGAGGGAGATAAATAGGGACAGAAAGAAAGAAGAAATGGAGGGAAAAGAAGATGGAAGAGAGAGGAAGGGAGGGAGGGAGAGAGGGAGGAAGGGATTCATTTTAATTTAGTTCCTCACCTGTACCAACCATACACAAAATTCTTAAGAACCAGGCAAAGAAACTGAAGACAGACAAAAGATCAAATGAATTCTAATGATGCTAATGCTAGTCTTTCAAARCAAACAATTCAGCRGCCATCTTGCCAGGGGGCAAAACAAAACAAAGATGACAGAAAATATATAGAGTTTTGTGTGYTTGTCTTTCTTTTATGGGTGAAGGTGATGGATGTGCCATCTTAATTCATCTTTTGTTGTATTGTTCTCTTTGGTGAGCTGATAATATCAATAGTCCCCTTCAAAGTTCCCTGCGCCATCTTGAAAGGTAGCTGTACCTTTGCATCATAGAGAGACGAACGATGAGCTTGCAATCATAGAGACATGCGAATAATTGTCCTTGGTGTTAAAAAAAGGTCTCTATCATTGCAAGCTCACCGTTCGTCTCCCTACGATGAAAAGGTACGGCTACCTTTCAAGATGGCGCAGGGAACTGTGAAGGGGATTATTGACGTCATTACTGTAACACAGCTTTATTTGCCCCCTGGAGGCCCCATAATGCCTAGTGATCTAAGATGGCTGCTGTATTTCCAAAGTAGTCAATTGATAGAGAACTAGTCTGCATAGCAGAGCTTTGAGAAAGGGGAAAGGAGGAAGAAGAGAGGGAAGGGAGATGAGGACTGAGAAGAAGGGAGCTCCCCAGTCCCATTCCCCTCCTCCTCCCTTCCCCCCTCCCCAAACTGCTGCTGTGCAAGCTAATAGAGAACAACATGACAACTAACCTCATCCAGAGCAATATCTACAGATTCTGGTATATTAAGATCAACCCAGGGTTGTATTTTTATTCTTGCTATTTCTGGTCTGAATTTAAACACAATGAATGAAATGAGAACTGAATTTAATAATTTTCATTTGTGATACAATGTACCAAATCCACTAATGGGTGTACTTTCTTCCCTTTTCAGATCCCATGTCATTCTCTTTGTTTGAGTCGTATCAATATTCATGTGTCTCCTCAAACTTAACCATTAATCAAAGAGATCCTACTCTAATAGCCCACTTCCGAGATATGCTTCACTTGTCACGACAAAGGTTTCAGTATGAGGCTATGTGCTAAATCCTCAGTCATTCGTGACAGGCGGTAAGAATTAATTTAATTTTACACATAGCCTCATACTGAAACCTTTGTGCATCACAAGTGAAGCATATCTCAAAAGTGGGCTATTGAAATGATATGGTATGAAAGTGGAAAACATTAGGATCTTGGAAGTGGATATGGTCCAATAGATAGGAATATAATTATTAACTCATAAAAAATTAAACCATAGTAGTGAAATCCAACTTATTAGTGGTCTATCATCAATGCTGTGTTCTCATTGAATTCCATTTGGGCTCAAGGACTAATTGCTATTTTAAAGAAATCTATAAAAAATATATTAAGCTTTAGCTGTTGTATCACAGCATGGGACAATCACAACAGAGCTGGGACTCCAACTAGTTGAGAGCCCAAAGATTCAATTGGAATTTAGAAGTTGATTTTTGAGGAGGGAGAAAAATCAGAGAACCTGTCGAAAAATCCTCAAAGCACAGGAGAGAACCAACATAGCTCTACTCACATATGACACACAAGACCGACAGGACTCAAACCCAGGTCGCATTGGTGAGAGGCAGTGCATTAGTGGAACATGCTACCCGTGCTTTCCCTTTATCTCTCAAAGAKGTATTGCAATTGAATTCATGATAGCTTGATATTCACCATGACACATATTTATACTAGATATCATGGTTAACTTTTCAATTCATTTTCTTTACCTGTGTCTCTGACATCTAGAATTTCCACATATTGTACATCCTTTAGGTGCTAACAACTTTTCATCATCTTCATAAACAACCTAGGAATAACATCAGAGCTAATAGAGTGAGTAAAGTAGATATGTTGGGAAGGTCCCCTTAGGTGCTCACAATTTTTCATCATCTTCATAGACAACCTAGAAATAACACCAGAGCTACACTGTAGTAGAGAGAGYAAAGTAGATACATGGGGGAGGTCCCTACTGTACATATACACCATACCTAGGACAAGAAACTGTAACCWTGCAAGTACTGGGAAAATCCAATATCACCAATATATGGCTACAAAAGATATACATATATTCTATACCAGGATGAAGTGGCAAGGCCTCAATTATAGGGGGACAATGTGCCATTTTCCCACCAAATCCACGAGAATCTATGCATATAGCATGAATTGATTAAATTTGGGTGCTGAAAGTTAACTTAGGGGGAGGGGGATATGTGTCCCCTTCCTCCTCCCCTCCCCCCTCCATCTCCTCCATATGCTAGTGCTAGGATAGAAAGTATTTTCTACATTCAAATCTACCTTTTCTCTGGGTCTATGGTTGATAAGTAGACTTGGAATGCTGGAGAAATAACTAAAASAGAAAAAGAAGTTTGTCTGAATAAACTTTATTTCATAAATTAAGACAAACAATTGCAGTTTATCTACRTGATGAACCCTCTCAATCTTTTTTTACAGTATTGCTTTCATCATGCTACAGTACTGTATGCTGTCTGACCCTCCACATTTCTGATAATAAATTCCACTTGACTCAGAAATATTTGATCATTTAATAAAGATGATATCRTACCTTTTACTATACTAAAACCTTACCTGAAAAGAATGTAGCCTCCTCCGATACCAGCAGCTAATATCCATATCCCAATAAGAATAGAAATATACCTTGGATTATGAAACAAACCTGATCAGTACTACGAACTATTAGCCTGTTTTTGTATGCCTGAGTACATGCCTGTAACAGTGTCCRCAGGGAGCCTATAGCTCTGAAGGTAATAACTGCTATACCATAATTCTAGCGCATTCTTGTACGTAAGGTGCAAGAAAATGATTGCTTTTAACATAGTGGAAACAAAACCTTCACTAAAATAACAGTCATGTTTGCGGTCACACAATCTAGATACAAAATATTTTATTTCATACACGTAACTATAAACCAAACCATTTTGTACGCTATGTGTGAATCCAACAGAAACTGAAACCAAACTCAAAATATATTTAGCTGCAAAACTCAGATTGCCTGTTCTGACATATATAATACAAATACTGGGTACATTTAGCATATCATTGATCAACTATCAAGACCTTATTTTTATTTTTTCCTGCTCGTAATTACGAAAAATCAAATTTGACGATATAACTGCTTCAAAATCAAATAATTCATTTCATGCAAAAAGTTTTAGCATTCAAAAAATCATAACGAAGGTAAGCTTAAATATTTTATACGTCATTACAAATACTTAGATTTAAGCTTAAGTAAGACTTAAATAACTATCCCTTTCACAAAAGTTACATGCTCGAATGTCAACACTACTCTTAAATTTACAATTTCACTTTTTCATCACATTATGCAGAATATGAGGTCATGAGGTCATTCCGACATAGTTTTGGAAGTCCTCGCTTCATCTTGCAGATAAACATGAAATAATCCTATAATTCAACGCTTAATACTTACCTAAAAAACTGGAAAGTGAAGAAGAACAAACAAACAGACCCTGCAGCTAGTAYTGGCTTTAGTCTATTGAGGTCTTGTCCCTCAGAACTTTCCATTTTCATTAAACGGAAGTTAGTGTTATGAAGAGATGTTCGTCCGCCATCTTGTTTTCTTGTATAATGACCTCGCTTCTGTGTTGTTGTCAGGTCCAGTACTTTCCCTTTTACCCACGTGTCACTCTCCTGGAAATGTCATTAATGCGTTGCGTATCTCCGTATTTTACTGCATCAGAAAATGAAATAGCGCAGCGCACTGATTCTAATAATAGCTTAAAGATTCGGACAAACATTGTATTCTGTTTAACCGCTACGAGCATTATACGAACCGATTTTATTATTTTTACTTAAAGTTACAATAATAACCCATGTAAACTAAGATCAACTGCGATCGGCTGTGAAAATTATCTGCTGAAAGTAAACTTGTAAGTTTGTTTGTCCGAATTTCGCCTTTGTTTTCGTTTTTATGACGTCATGACTGCGTTGCGCTATTGCGCAATTAGTACACAGGTTTCTTCGTGGCAATTCCCAAGAGTCCTTTGCGGACGTATAATAGAGATCCCGGACAATTGCTAATCGATTTCTAATTTATCAAAGTGATTGATTGGAAGTGGGGCTGSGAATCACGTGTCGAAAATTAATGTCTGCGCATATTTTTTTTATTTTTTCGTTAGTTGCTCAAATTCAAGGCTCAGTGCAGTAGGACTTACTGGGGTATATAAACTGACCAAGAAAGTTCAAGATGCGTGAAAAGATCTTTCTTTTATTTGGCTACTCAAATTTTTAATTTAGCTTCACAAACCAGTATATTCGAAACTAAGAAAATAAGGATTCAAAGCTTCCCGTGACGACGACCCTCAATTCCCCATGGTAGGCGTCTTCACCTTGTTATAAGTCATTTTTATTAGCCAGATTTGTACCTGATATTTAATAATACTAGCGCTATAAACGATTGTAGAAAGCATAAAAAGGTTTGTTCGAGTTTTAAGTTGGTTTGTGTTATCATATGGATTGAGGTCAGTGGATGTTTAAAAATATGTGGAGCAGGTTACTCAGGAATAGGTTACTCAAAAATAGAAAAGTTTCTCTATTCTATTATTTTAAAAATCAAAAAAGAAAAACTTAAAAAAGGAACAAAAGCGTGAGTAAGTATAATGTTTAGGTCACCCATCCAAGTGCTAACCCTCCTCAGACGAGCTTGACTCAGTATCTTGATCAATGACAACGATTTATCCRCTGGACCAYGGTCCCAGGTAGATCAGCATAACAATAGCCATGAAAACAATGCACCAGATAGACTAGACTTTTTAACCGTATTTTTTCAACCGATTCCGTGCGTGGCAGAGATGCAAGGGATTAGCCGATATGGTCTGGGGGCCGGCTGGTCTCTCCCCTGATGCTTCGGCTAGAACATTTTCTTGCGTAATTCGTACAACCCAAGGGCAGAAGGATTTAATCGCCGTCAGGTCCGAAGTCCATACGCCGCCTCAGCTCTGCGGATGTCTCGGGGGTATGGCAAAGTGGGATCGATTATTCCTTTTTTTTTCTTTTTTTTTTTTTTTTTTTTTTTGTTGGACGTGGACTTGATTCCCACCTTAAGCTTTTTTTAATCTTTAAATCTTGGAGGCACTTTACCAATTTTTCCCCCGGCAATATTGGTACGCCAATACAAATACAACTATACCAATAGAAATAAAATAAAATGAGAAAAAWTCGGAGTATGAATACACTTCATTTTTCCGATTGCTTTCACTGCAAAGGTTAGATCATATGCTTACGCCAATTCCATGTTTGATAAGAGTACAGACCACAGAAAATGAACCTCGAATCGTTTTTTACCTTACCTCAGCGATTCTGGCTGACAAAATTGGGGTAATTGATCTTGTTGCGTMATGCCGCAAGACCAAGAGAATATTCATATTCTCTTGCGCAAGATCAATTTCACAAGTAGTGTGCATGTTTGCCATAGCCGCCATTTTGGCTTCTGTTGTYATATCAACCAACATGGCTGCTTTTTTATCGTTATTTATTTATCAAGGGAATTTGAGTTCTGCGTAAGTGACTACTCATGTAGTAAATTGATGTTGAACTCCTYGATTGGAATCACACGGTCTCATTTCAATACATCTGGAAGTGACTGGTCATCACGTGATACTGTTTGCTCACATAATCCTGTTAAAAAAATTTCAATGTAAAAATATTATTAAGCGCATTTTCAATTTATGTGAAATTGCTGGTCGCAAAAAAGTACTGTAATGGCCGGTTTAGACGGTATAATTTTCGCCTACAACTATCGCGATCGTATACAACACGCTCGCGTCTGTCGTAGGCGARTTGTAGGCTTGATTTACACGCTACGACTCGAGTTGTAGTATGGTGCGAGCGTGTTGTATACGATAGTTGTAGGCGAAAATTGTACCGTCTAAACCGGCCTTAATACAGGCAACAAATTAGCGCAAACAAGATATTACCAAACCTTTGGTTCATCCTCCACAGGCAACCCAATATCTATAATATTGAGAGCTGCGTATTTCTGGCAGTATGCAATATATGTAGAGGTGGGCTGTTTTATAGCAGTCTCGAACTCGTAATCCTTCACCCTAGGCCTTCTGCCCCTGTTCGGGCACCAAGGCGACCTGATTCTCCATGCGCATGCGATCGGAACTTAGCTCTTTGCCTACAGTTGGTTGAGTGTTTTATAGCGTTGTACCAGCTAGCCAAAATGATTARCCTTTATCGTTAACTGACCTTTCATACAGAGGATTTTCAGATTTCATTGGTTTAGGRTCAGCTGGTTTAGGGTCTTTTGTTTTCTTCTGTATAATAATACTGTAAAGGAGCATAAAATACGAACAGTTTATACTGGGCTTCGCACACCACGTGACGGCAGCCATGTTAGATGGCTGGAACAATACAATCGTTTTACATGAGGAATAATTTTATACTCGCGTTTCGAGCTAGTTCTCTGTCGCTTAGGGTTAGCCTCGATTTTTTGCAGAATATTGATGTGTTTCAGTGAAGGTCCATAGAATTTCAAAGTGTTTGTAATTGTTGAAGTTGTGCATTCTTTACTTTACCGTTGGTATTTGTGAATATTTTGACACTAAATGAGGCTAAGCCTGAGTAAATGAGTCTGTAATCAAGACGGAATACAGTGGTAATTTGGAACTTGAAAAAGTCTATTCCCGAGAGCAAAGAGATTTTATCGCTCTGCCATCTATAAACCAAAGGCAACACAGCCCAAGCTGCGTGTATCATAGGCGTGATTGTGTAAGACACCTATTGCATTAAAAATCACTTAAAACCGCAAAGATTTCAATGAGATATAGGATGCATTAGAAGAGCATTAGTAGTATATTTCCTTTTTAGGTTTGGCGCAGGAAAGGGTGTAATAAAATACATTCACGTCTGCCACGCGCGAAGAAGTSCAAAAGTTCCCGCCAAAAAAGTACATGTTTGGTTTGTTTGTTTGTTTGTTTGTTGTTGTTTTTTTGCGAGAACTTTAAGTTATCATGATTTTACCTTTCATAAAGTGGATTGTCTGTTTTTAAATCGTGCCTGAAAAATGAAAAAGCATTGCTCAAAAATAAATCCTGAAAGTAAAACGTTGTCAAACGAGTCACGTTGTCTTCCATCTAGCTCTTTATAATTACTGTTCTACGAGGAAGAAAAATTTTAATCTACATTTTCGACTTTCTGCAAGATTGAGCCATTAAAATGAAAGTGTTTCTCAATTCTTGGGGTGCTTCTTACGTCATAGCCACGTCATGTTGGTTAACAATACCAACATGGTGGCTCAGTGTTTCATTGTTATTTATATTTCAAGGGATTTTGAGTCATGTGATGTGGTTGCACCCCATAAATAAAACTACTTACGGTGTGGCATAAAGAGGGTTGACCGATTTCTCTAACGTTTTTTCTTCTGCTTCGTCTTTACTTTCTTCTTTATCGTTACTATAAGTGAAAAAATAAAATGTGACCAAAAAATCTTATTGCGATTGTGTGACTTTCGAAAAACTGCGGTTTAGTTTCGTCGCTTTTCCAAACCTATRAGATGTAATAAACGTTCCATTTTAATCGATGCCAAGTTGCCCCACACTTATTATGATAGCATCATTTGACGTCAAAAATATAATGGAAAAATGAGACATGACGTCACATTAATATAATTCTTAGGTGAAGTTGAGTTATTTAGTTTAAAAGCCATAATCAATTCAATTTTGCATTTTGCACACTGGTATGTAATCTCCTATGCAGCAACTCCTATGACGTCAGYTTCATGTACTGATGCAGTCACGAAACATCTCTTACATACAAACATCATACTGGTCATGTCACATCTTCCTAAAATCCTGGTAGGGACCACTGAAGGAGTGGTTTGTAGCTTTCTTCGCTGCAGTAACCGYCATTACCGCCGGTCTAATTTTTCCGGCAGAATCGATCCAAAACTGATGACGGTTGCAAGGGAGACGAGGTGGGTTGCGGTTACTTTAGGACAAATTTAGCCACACCCACTGATCAGGGTGGTAACCCCCTCCCCCTCCCTTAGCTTCTAAACACTAGTAATCAAAATCCTATGAAAAGAAGACATATAAATCGCGCTTGAGCAATGAAGAATTTGCCACGAAAACTTAACAATTTTTATAATTATATCACTGAAACCGAAACTCTATTCAAAAATGTAGTTTTTGTAAAAACTGTTCTTATTTACCAACCTGCAATACGCCAAGCATCCCAGAGTTACCAAGAGACCTGCAACAGTCAAGGCTACTGCAGTAGCAATGATCCATGTCTTGGGCTGTGACTGTCTTTGTTCTGCCTCGGCAGTTACGAGTAGCTTGATTGTAGAACTCTCATTCTTTGGCACAGTTGAACCAACAGTATTTTTCTCTGTTGTAGTCTCAGTAAGAGGAAGAGTCTTTGGAGTACTTGGAATATCAGTTTTGTTTGCTATTATTGTTGTTTCTGTTGTTGCTGTTGTTRTTGTGTTTGCTGTTGTTGTGTTTAACGTTGTTGTTGTTGATGTTGTTGTATTTCTTGTTGGTGTTGCAGTAGTGTTTGCTGTGCTATTGTTTTTGTGTAAATGTGATGTTGCGGGTAGTGCTGTAGTAAGTTCKTCTAGAAATTGAGAAAGATTTGGCCTCGTTACACTCAACTTCTAGTTTCTGCAAAATAAACTACCCATTTTGATTCTAAAGTACTACTAAAGGAATACATTCATCATCGTTAAAAACACACTTCACTGTGAAATACTTTCTTCTAGAAGAAAATAGAAAGAGTCTCTACTTCTGCAACAAAGTCGTGCAACAAAATCTTGTTGTTTTACGGGGTGGTAATGCGAGCATTCACATTCACTCTGCAACTTACAACGCAATAAACGCTTTGCGCGACAAGTTGTACGATTTTGTTGCTGGTAAGAAGACAAWTTCAAATTGAATTGAGATAATCTTACCACTAATGCGCGTAGTCGTGTAGCGGATCTGAAAACCAATGTCGCTTATTCTATAATCGGAGTGAAAATCAAGGATCACTAGGCTGGAGTAAGTGTTTCGTATTCGTGGCGGAGAGTGCATAAACTCCATGCAGTAAATATTGGAAATAGTGTTAGACTGTCTTTTGATGGTAACTTTCAGCCAATCACAGGAACAGTCTAKATTACAGGAAAATGCTGAGGACTCCAATATAAAGTCATCAAAAATCAGAGTGATGTAGTAGTTGTTCGGAACTTCGATTCTCCATTGGCAGTCAAGGTTTTTAGGATACTTTAAAGGATAGTTTGGGGATTGTATCGTTCCTGATAAAGCGGTGATGTGCCAGTTACATGCTGAAATAGAATTATTCGATTATTGTTGGATTTGTGGAGAGGCGGATGAATGRATGGAAGAATAGAAGGAAGGAAGCAATGATCGAAGGACGGATTAAGAAATGGAGGATCGATGGAGAGAGAAATGATTTACAGGTATAAATTTATCAGCATAACAGCCGGGACGGGAAAATTAGGAAGGTAGTGAGGAAGGAAATATAATTTGAAAAGAGGATTACAAGATAACTGAGGAGAAAGACAGAACTAGATATTATTCACATACCTGCCTGCCTGCCTGCCTGCCTGCCTGCCTGCCTGCCTGCCTGCCTGCCTGCCTGCCTGCCTGCCTGCCTGCCTGCTTTTACTATCGTTACTCACGTGTATAATAGCAGTAATAAACAGTCATTACACTTCTTTCCTTTTTGTAAGGGTGTGGAGGGTATTGTTTAGCATTACCATCAACCGTGTCATAACCAATATATTCCAGTGTATGCTGCGTCCCCTTGATGTTCTGGCATTTGTCGATACTTTTATCATTGGTCAACAAGAAAAACGGCGCATCATTTGGTAAAGAGATGGCAACTGATGGATTTCCTTTGGTACTGCAACAAAACTTAATCAGAGTATTGACCAAGTAGTCCCCTTTAGGCACTTCACCTATCTGATAGTTAGAATTAGAAAGTCTATCGTTCCAATATAACGACCCTTTTTGAAGCCCAGATGGGCAGTTATCAGACTTCATATACATGCAGTAACTTCCGGTCGGCCATACAGGTCGRCTTTGATCCATGTTGGTCGTATTTTTGAAGCAGAAAGATCGGGCAACRCCGTTGTTAGTCGCATTAGCTTGAAAGTGAAACTTCCTTGGTATGGTGGACAATGGATTKAGAGCCTGRAAAATTGTTCCTGTGGCCCATGTGAAGCCGTTCGCAGTTTTAGGGCAGCCATCTTTGGTCTGAGGTAATCCGTACATGCCTGCTGGCCAGAGCTGAGGAGGTGAAGAACCTAGAAAAAGGGGATATTCTTCTTGAGTACAATATTCTTCGTTCAAGTGTGATTCATATAATGCATATCTTCTCAAGCACCACGAATAAACAAAGAAGCATTACTCAAGGGAATGGCATTGGTTCGATTATTTATTCTTATTTAAAAGATATAGTTTTCGCTCATTTTTAAAATTAACTTGCTATTGCGTGACACGGTGAATGTAACACAATTTAGACTTACAGAACAAAACAAACCAAGATGTACCATCTTAAGAATTAAAAAAAAGAACTTCAAAGGCTATCACTAAATATCAATAATGAAAATTTATAGATACAACATACAAAATACAACATATGATATTTTGGGGGGAGTTTCCCTCTCGTGTTTGATCGGGTCGGCCGGGTCGGCCGGGTCACCGTACCATCGACATCGCTTTGTAAATCTTATAAAATTTCTTTCAAATGGTAAAATAATGTTCTACTAATAATTAAAAACACCATCAAAAACGACTGAGTGAGATGAATTTATAAATCACACTAACACTAACTGCAGTATTCTTTAGAAAATATTTGACGTAACGTCAAACGAAATCGTAGTCTTACTCTTTAAAAACTTAGAAAAAACACCAATTTGAACTAAAAAATAAGCACCTACGATTCAAATAATAATGAAAGAAAATATCCATTGCTAGTGCATTTATTTGATTACCTTCGTCGTATTTCAAAATGCTTAAGCTGTTCGTTTGATTTCATTCTAAACCGCCGTACTAAAAGTTCTTAGTAATTTAGCGATTAAATAATTAATAAGCAACGCAAAACCTAGAATGGATTGAAAAGCATACCTGCGACAGAAGAGAAGGATGAGGATAGTCCTAAAATAATTACAAGTATCAACATCAAAACCATGGCTTCATCAGCAGAACTAGTATAATGATATATGGTTGTTTTTTTTTAAGTCCTCCCACTGTTAAATGCRTCTTGTGTCATTGATCTGTATTGTTTTATGGATTACGATCTAGCTGCTGACATTCGCTGATGACGTAGCTGATGACAAGCTGATCTCCTGCTTAGCTCGGGACTTGGCCATGGGAGTGCTCTTCCCAGGGGTCGAGGATTAGAGATAAAAAAGCTGGGAGAGGAGAGGAGAGGAGAGGAGAGGAGAGCCCAAAGCTTGCAGGGCAGAGAAGAAGAAAACATGTTTGTATAAGAACTCAAGTGGGATGTCGTAACAGGGTTTTATCTTTCCTTATAGTTGGGTTGCCTGTGGCAAAACATATCTTGGCTGCACCGTGGTTGAAAAAGCTTCCAGGCCAGAGAAGAAGAAAACTTGTTTCTATAAGAACTCAAGTGTGATGTCGTAACAGGGTTTTAGTTTTCCTTTAGTTGGGTTGCCTGTGGCAAAACATTTCTCGGCTGCACCGTGATTGGGGAAAAAACGGAAGTACGTTCATGTCTAGAAGCGATAGAACGATAATAGAAGACAAGACRATGCATAAGATATAAAACAATRCACTACTATAYAATATATGCATTGTGTATTCGTYGAGAACAKGAACTTATWACCGAAAAAGAAAAAAACTGCGTCGATTTGKCATTGCAGTGCATTTTGGGACTGTTGTAAGGGACATATTTTCAAGATGGMGTCTATTTTTAGACTCTTCCACAGTCTCTCGCTCGTCCGTTCCGTCTCCACGCTTAGAGACTGTAACGGTACAATGACMGAARGGACTTATGGGTCCCGAAAAYTTGGACCCGGCGTGCTTTGGGAACCAAAATACTCGTCCACAGTCTCTCTCGTTTTCGCCGCCATCTTGAAAATATTGAAACATGGCTCTAAGCGTGGAGACGGAACGGACGAKCGARAGACTGTGGAAGAGTCTACGTCTATTTTGTCCCCTAAAGCAGTCCCACAATGCATTTCAATGCAAATTCGACCACCCAGTCTTTTCATCAACCTCGACCTGAACATTGTCGCTCCCGGATCCTCCTCGGTTGTCGTTCCTGCAAGCAGAGGCTCTGAGAAACCCTTGACCGGAGGCAAGGAATATTGCGACCACGTCCTCACGGCGCATGCTCAAACTCTTTCCAAGACCAGAAAGACAAGTCTTTGGCTTTGTGAAATCTACAAATGACGAATTTTTATTTCCCGCTACCTTCGATTATCCAATCAAAAAGAAGATCTATTGTTCTTCTTAAAAGTCAATCAAATTGCGAGAATTTTTCTAGGGTTTCCCAGAGCCTCTGACGGGGAGGAACGACAAACGAGGAGGATCTGGAAACGAGAATGCGACCTGAAAGACAATGGTTGGCGAGCAAGTCGCGTGCATGGACGTTTCAAAACCTCAATATGAGACTGATAAACAAAGTTTATCATTGCTAATTTAATGTGTACTGAATCGGTGGTGGTGGTGGGAGGGTCTACTGAAACAATCCTACAATAGTACCTTTCACAGTTCCCTGCGCCATCTTGAAAGGTAGCTGTGCCTTTGCATCGAAGCGAGACGAACGGTGTACTTACAATCATTTCGATAGAGACCTTTTTTAACACCTTTAACAGTTATTTACAAGTCTCTATGATTGCAAGCTCGCCGTTCGTCTTGCTTTCATGCAAAGGCACGGCTACCCTTAAAGATGSCGCCGGGATCTATGAAAAGGACTATTCCATGCAGTCAATTAGTTTCCGCTTTCAGCAGTCGAGTTTCAGCAGTTTACAAGGTTCAAGTTTCCTGATGAGCTTTGAGATTTTTACAGTACCCCCAAATTCCCGTATCCCTACAACACTATCAGTAACAACTAACAGAAGTAGCTGTCTGATAAAACAAAGCTTGCACGATCGATAATGCAAACACATATTCCATCTTCTACTCACGATTATCTCGGGCTTTGAAATTCAAAATTTTAATTTAAAAAAAAAAAAAAAAAATTTGAAGAACAGGGCCCGGCTGTACGAAGGGTGGATAGCGCTATCCGACGGACAAATCTTATCCAGAAAATAAATTTATTGGATAACATCATCAATTTATCCATCCATAAGGATTTATTCATTGGATAGCGCTATCAACCCTTCGTACAACCGTGCCCAGCAATCAGTTATTTAGTACTCATTGTCTTACTRTATTCTCATGAGGAAATAAAATTTGAATATGAAACGCGGAAATTGGTAGTAAAATGACCCCATATATGGTGAAAACTGCCTAATTCAATACGTTCGTGCCAAATTCCATCCATGTTTACCCATGAGCTTTGAACTTTGACAAGTATTTCAGAGTTGTTTTGCTCAAGCTACGAAGGAATAAGATATCTTTGAACTTTGGCAAGTATTTCAGACCGGACTGGTTGTTTTGCTCAAGCTACGAAGGAATAAAATATCTTTGAACTTTGGCAAGTATTTCAGACCGGACTGGTTGTTTTGCTCAAGCTACGAAGGAACAAAATATCTGATACTTTTGTAAGGAAAAAGATTGCCAAATTATCATTGAGGACCGGCTGATATCAGTGCATGTCGTTGTGCCTTAAAAGCTGGATTTTTCCCCAAATATATATACAAGTTATAAAAAAATCATGAAATAAGCTGATAGCTCAGATAATGAATGATTGGCATCCTCAATTGTTTCAGCATTGAAGRAACAACACACTACATGAAACATTGCATGTTTATAAAAATGGTCGTTTGGATCGACCTACCTGAGTGCCCGGCCCAAGATAATGTTACCATTTTACAGGTATAAATTGGAGCTTGCATCTCAGTTTGATTAATTCAGAAGTCGTTGGCTTTGACTGTCTTTTYAGAACCGTGGAATATAAACTTGTTCAGACCTAAGAGGTATGTATATCTCATCTCTTTCTTATTTCCGCTTTCGGCTCACTTCGAATTCGTTCCTCCCATCTTTTTCTTGCCGTCTCCCTCTTTCACTCTCTTGTACYGTCTTTCTCCTTCAATATCTTAAGTCTTAATCATATTCGCTTACATCTTTGCTCTAAATTTGGTTTTTTATCTGTTGCTTGCAAAAAGCGCCAATGGATAAACAGCAATCTGCTAATGAATTTTCTCGGTGTAAGATATATATATGTATAGAAGTATAGTACAGTTTACACTTAATTTTATTTCCAAAACAAGCACTATTGCATATTATGTATAACAGCAAGGTTGTAGTTGCTATGGAATTGTCTTTAGGATTCTCGAAAATTTCGAAATTTCTTCTCACAACTCCTCATCCCCTACGCCTGGTTTATGTCACTGCTCCGCTAAAGTCCTAGARATACTTATACTAGCCGATATATGCAGCCTAGGTATACGACACGAGCGATTGCTTAGTAGAATAAAATAGATTCAAGTCCTGTAAAGTAGGGTACTGACGGAAATTCATCGACAAAAAAATTAATAATAGCAGATTCAGAAGTCTGGAAAGTAATTCGGTTTTATTCTAATTATTGTCATGGAATGATTCTTAAACTAATTTTCTTTTATAGATTCAGTTCAGTGATCATTAACCATGAGGACYTTTCAAACTTTCTTGGTGTTAATGTTGCTGGTTGTGTACTCGTCAGCGTGGCTTTTTAGCAGCTCTCGAGAAAATGCAGAGAAAGCAGACAAGAACTACGAAAACAGCCCAGCTGAACGCTTCGTTGCTAAATCATTTGGTGACGAGCTTCCCAAGATGAGAGATGATCTGATCAGGCGCAAGAATAACGGGGAGGGCTTTATTGAGCGTCATTATAATGCATGGAAAAATGGAAACAACTGGGATGTGGATGAGAACAATGACGCMAAGGAAGATGGTGACCCAGAACCGAGAACCTGATAGAATTTGAACGTCAAGGCGAGAAAACACGTTGAAGACTTGCAAACATTAATGACAAACTTTAAAAGGACTGAACAATGGAATTAACTAGTAGTGACTGAAATAAAACAAGTAGAATGTATTGTTATTGTGATTAAAAAGCCTAAACTAAAGAATGAATGYATTTTGTCTGTCGTTTTGACTTTCCGGGGTTTGTGAACAAATTCGAGAGAAAAGAATAAGATTAATAAGAGAAGAGAAAAGAGGTTAAGATTTAAAAAAGCTTAAGGTGGGATTCAAGTCTACGTCCACCCAAAAAAAGGAAAAAAAAAAGAAAAAAAAGAAAGAAAAATCGATCCCACTTTGCCATACCCCCGAGACATCCGCAGAGCTGAGGCGGCGTATGGACTTCGGACCTGACGGCGATTAAATCCTTCTGCCCTTG